AAAATATACTAATAATAATCTTAATCTGACTATTATTTTAATCCAAATTTACTACTAAACCAGGTCGCAAAAATATTCTGTGACCTTCACCGTGTTTCCACAACAACAGTGTTTTCACAACAACATGTCCATATAAGTACAGCTATACCAGAATCACACACACACACACACACACAGAGAGAGAGAGAGAGAGAGAGAGGCTGCTCTGCTGCTGACTGAGGTGGAATCAAACAGTGAAATCCTTCAAACGACTATCGATCCACTGGGTTTACAGAACGGACTCTGTCTGCTAACAACACACTCTGTGTGTGTGTGTGTGTGTGTGAGTGTGTGTGCGGCTGCTGTCATTAGGGTCATTATGTCCACTGGCGTACAGAAGGGGTTAAAAAGACTCTGTGACAGAGACAAATAGAGCTGGGAGGGGGATTTTGAAATGAGCATCCGTCACTTCCACCTGCGACCACTTCACTCTGTGTGTGTGTGTGTGTGTGTGTGTGAGTCTCTGTGTGTGTGTGTGTGTGTGTTTGAAATCAAGCTGCCAATATAGAATTGATCGGCCACTATGTTCCTCCAGATTCCCCCAGAGACAAACAGTACTGAGAAACAGTACTAAAGGACAGTACTTTCCCATCAGGCATTCACACCTGAGGTAAATGTATACACAACAAACAAACTCCATAGAGAGAGTGGGGATTAAACCCGTGACCTTCTAGCTGTAAGGCAGGAGCCATAACCACCCTCCACTGTCTGGTCCCATTGATGTGAATGTGTCATTTTTATTATTATTCCTGATTAATTTATGTATTGATCAGTACAGATCAGTCTCTGTGTCATTCACACTGCTGACTAACAGTCACAGCTGTGTCCAGCAGAGGGTGCTGTTTACGCACGATATCGTTTTCCACGTCTGCTCCTCGCCAAGAGGGATCAGCGACGGGACTTTTCTGAGGTGTGTCCTCCAGAGAAGATGACGTAAGAGGGTGTCACACAGTGACTGTGAACGCGGCCGCGGGCACGAGGGAGGCGTGAGCACGAGGTGATTGGTGATAGAGGCTGAGGTGTAATTGGAAAAATAACAACGTGACACAGATACCAGACAATTGTTCACCCACTTATCCCTGCAGAAAGTAGAACAGTGACTTGTTTTGGGTTTTTTCACCACCGACAGATCTGACCTTTACTGCAGTAATACTGCAGTAATACTGCAGTAATACTGCAGTGTTTTCTTCAGCTCTTCCTCAAATCTCCACACACAGCTCAGATGTCCTCACCTGGAGCAGGCGGCTGTAAATCTGGGTCATTCCCAAGCAGAGAGCAGTCTGGGAATAACGTGGAAATCACCTTCAGGATCACGTTCAGGGTCAGAGGTCAAGCGGAGCCTTCGGCCGTGACCGCTCAGGTGTGGAGTTCATTCGGTTTCCTATGTCAGCGTGTAGACCTTGAGCTTTCAGCTGCGATACCAGTGACAAACACAGAGGTAAACAAACAGGCGTCTGGTATCAGTCACACACCGGTCACGGTGGAAACCTCACAGATGACGGGTTTTCACCCGACGTTTGAACGTGTCCAACAGACAGGAACTAAAACTAAAGCAGACAAACGTGTGACCCAAATCTGAGGTCTGTGTGGCCCATATGTGGCCCATATCTACAGTACAGTAACCAGCCAGTCCAGCCCACTGTCGTACCTGATATTTGTCCAAGTGACCTCAGTCTGAACGATGATGTCACATCCTGCACTGGAGTGGGAGGGGGGAGTAAATAATGGAGGAAACAAACAGACAGTCACTGTTGTAGGAGCGAGTCAGTGGAAAGTACAAGATTGTCAAAGTTTCACGTGCTCCCAGGTCGTCAGTCAAGGTGGTATCACCAAGCTTCTGCCCCCTACAGGCCTAAGCTCACATTGGAATCTGACGGAGGTTCAACATTTAAACTCTAACATGAACAACCAAGTAAAAAAAACAAAAAAATCAGTTCTCTTCTAAAAACATATTACATCATTAAAGCTGCACTGCGACGGCAACACAACGTTATGTCGCTGTTGTCTGTAACCTCCAGATCAGGTTAAAACATTTGGAGAAACCTTTTCTGCATTTTCTGAGTGAGTTTGATTTGATGGTTGCTGATGGGGTTTCAGAAATGACTCAGAAGTAACTTAACCTAAAGGTTGCGACGTGAGCGAAGTGAAGTGTGGAAACAGGTGAATCATCTTCACCGTGCCATCACATTATCAGACCTAATTAGTCACAGATGCGTGACTGCCATTTACAACCGCCGAGCTGCGGGGCCGGGCCTCGACAATGACTGCTGCTGTGGAAAGTGTGTCAACAACATGTTGACGGAGAAAAATATCCTGATTCCATCCTGCTCACGTGGTTTCACCCCAGGCCAACAGGA